CTACAACCCCAGAAAAAAAAATAGTAGAAGAAGAAAAGAATACAGTTCAAGAAGTTGATGAGGATTCAAAAGCATCTGAAAATGGAGATGCCAAAGAAACCAAAGAAAATGGCTCAAATGAAGAAAAAGAGGAGTCAGAGGCTAAAGAAGCAGAATCAACAGAAAATGGTGATTCAACAGGTAATATTGTTACATCAATATGACACTAATAAAATGAAGTTTATAAAAATTTATAATTAATTTTGTAATCAAGTATTTAATGTGTTTAATTATATGAATGATAATAGTTATATTGAAAATAAACAATTATTAAAAAATGTACATATTGCTAATAACTAAAAGCAATAAAATATTTTCACTTTCATGGGACTAATATTAATATTTCCATTTGCAGATGCTCCTGTTGATAGCTGCTGTATAAAGAGGAAATCAACAGCTTTAAGTGAAACAGAAGAAACTGCTGATGATGATGCAAGTCCTGAAAAGAAAACGAGACTTGATGAGAAATGTGCTGAAACAGAAAGCAATGGAGAAGCAGAAGCTACGGCCTAATATTTTTTGTTCATCGCAGACTTAAATTATAGATGCAATTTTAACAGCTAACTGAGAAGTCAGAACACCTAAAATTTGTTATCCGTGTGCATCGTCGTAATAGACGAGCATTAAAAGCGAAAACTTTAATATTGTATTACTGACTTTTGTGTTCAGACATTTATGTGTGTTTATTGCAACCATTTTTGTGACTCTGATTGGCAATAGCATATATCCACAACATCATCATAAATTACTATCTTGAATCACAACCATTCATGTTTCCTACGTTTCCATATTGACGTCCATATACATACATATATATACACACATAGTGCTAAACTTACAAAATAAGGAAGATACAGATAATATTATAAATAATATATTTCTGATACATATAAATAGATGATGGTGTGGTGCTTGAGAAAGATATTTGTGGGAAATATTCTGTATAGAATTTTCATTCTTTCTGATGCACTGACATAAGTAATATAAACACTTCTTATCAGGGATGAAAGAAACAATATTTTTTGCAAATCAAAATACATTCCTACAATACCTTGAAGCTCACCCAGTGGTCATTAATGTTTACTGACTTAAATAAGATATGAAATGAATTCTATTTGTAAACTCTGACAACAAATACTTGTTTCACGATACATATGTATACATATATGTGACTTACATACAATTTAACCTTTAACAAAAGAAAAAAAAATATAAACGAATTATTTTAAATTTCGATGCATTGTGATATTGATGCAACATAATTTAAACAATTTATAATTAAAGTTTGACGTATGTTTAATAAAAACAAAACACTACTTTCCAATAATCAGAATTTACATCATTTTTTGACAACTTTGTTATTACAATAGTATAACATCCAAATTATTAATATTTTTAAACAAAGTATCTAATGTGTAATAACTTGTATGTATAGAAAAATACTGGTGAGTAAAAATATTTAATGTTAAATTTGCAGTAATAACGGTTGAAAATGCTGGGTTAACAGTTTTACTTTAATGAGAAGTTGCATATCAAAAATTTGAAGTCTATGTGTAATTAAAATAATATATACTTATAAACAATATGAAAGGTGCAAAATTAAAAGCAATCTAGTGTATGTTATACTAATAAGAACAATTGATTTATAATGTTAAACATGAAACTACTACTATATCAGTTTTAGTCTTTTTTAGTTTACTGTCTAGTACAAATTGTTTTCATACAAACAAATTATGGTACAATCACAATTACTGTGTAATATTATTTCTTATGTAATAAATACTACCTGAAACAGCAAGACTGTATAAGACTATATTGAAGTATATCCAATGACAAGATGATAAATTTAAAAACAATGTTTATTTATTTATGTTAAATTTCTATATTCTTATAATTTACAAAACATGCGAAATGGTTGTTTTTTATTAAGATATTTAAAATGATTCATTTAAATCGATTTTATAATTATATCACGATTAAATATGAACTTAATAAAATATAATTTTTGTATCCAGGATCTAAATACTTATATTGCTCAAATTAATTAATAATGGTAACACATTAGTTTATGCTTTTTGTTGTGTATGGAATTTTTCTTAAAAATAACTCAAGAAAGTATTTCAAAATTGATATCTTGAAATTTAAATGAAACTAAAGAATATTTAATCTAATATTTCTATAAGAATACTTTGAAACAAAGAATGCAATTCAAATAAAAAGAATGAAGAATACTTTATTGCGATTAAATGAATTCTATCGTGTTAAATATAACTAAGTAAATATATTTATTTTGCAAATAAAAGGCAAAATCTATTTTTAAAGTTAAACTAATTTAAATGAATATGTTAAAATAATATACAGCGTCATCTATGAGAGAAATGAAAAGTTTTATAGGATTTGTGACAGGCATTTGCATGTACCAGGCGCTATATTATGTTTATTTGAATTACTTGATTAGTATTTAAATTTAAGAATTTATAAGCTAGTGACATATTTAAAAATTAATTTTACCTAAACGTGTTTTTCATATAATTGTGTAAAATGAATACAAAACCGGTTTTTTCTAAATCTAGTAAGTGCAAATTTTTAAAATTTATTATCTACAAACGTTGAAAAATGTAATTTCTACTTTGCTAAGAGTATATATTTCTTTGAATTATGAAGAACTTCAAACTATTATTACTCACTTACTATGTCATGTTATAAGATTCATTTTTTACTAATATTATTGTATAACATAACCTATTGAACTAATATTTATTTTATCTATTAAACTTTAAGATGTTTTGTATATTTAGAAGTATATTATTATCTGAAAAAAAGTTTATATGTTTAATAAAATTTATTGTTACAGGAAATAGTATGTGGCAAGAGGATAAATCAGATATAGAAGCCCATTCGTCTACACAATTTGTATATAATGCACATCATTCTCTTGCTCTTGATATGCAACGTAAACGGTTGCCGACATTTAAGTACAAAAGTCATATAATTTATTTACTGGAGAAATATCAGACATTAGTTTTAATTGGAGAAACTGGATGTGGGAAGAGTACACAATTACCTCAGGTATGTTTGTATTTTTAAAGAATTACATGTATCAAATAAAGAAATAATGATATGAATTGTACTTCATTACATTTAGTGATTTTATTTTATTGGAGTTTAAAATATTCTACAATAATGTAAATAACAAATGCATGTATACACATGTTTACTTATGAAAATGTATGAACGTTTTACTTTTTAAATTCTTATGATACTTAAAGTAAACTTCTATTCAAGTCTGCATATAGATACACATAATTTTACATATAATTTTGTTGATTATATTTTTTAAATGTACTAAACATGTTTATTTACAATTTTATTTACATAATATTCATATATTCCGAAATGACAAAAACCTCGTTTAAAAAATTAGTGACTTATAGAACGCGCACGCGTACCTGTAAAGGCATTTGTATTTACATCGTCATTCTATCGCAAGCATAGATAAGGTCTGGCAGTACTGCATTGTCGACTCAAAGTGTAATGTATTTTGATAAAATTTGCTGGTAATAGTAACTTCCTGAAAATTATTGAGAATAATTTAGTGCACAATCATGATTCGTAAAAAAGAATATCATGGAAAAATTTGTGTGATTAACTGTTTTATTATCGAACAGTTAAAAAGAGAAATTATGTGACAATAGTGTGATTGAAACTTTGTAATGAGAAAAATTTCATTTTGTTATAATAAACAGTAAACTGTTATACACAATGAGTTACACAACATGTTTTTTAAATACTCGAAAATAAAATACCGACACGCTATAAATTAATCGATCAAAATAGTACATTTGAAATCTACAAGATCTCATATAACCATGTGGAATCGCGCCACGTCAAGGCATCCCTGAATATCGCAACATTTCTCGTTGCGGAGTGAAGTACCGTTAATTGTAATGATAATATCAATAGACTTGGAAACTTATAAAATACCTATGATATAAAAATCATAGTCAAATGAGTTAGTCACGTGATGTGTTCAAAAGTTGAACCACTGTATTTATTAACTGTGATATGCAAAGACACGTGATGTGTTTAAAGGTTGACCCACTGTATTTATTAAGTGTGATATGCAAATTATTACATCGAAAAACTGAATATTACAATAATTTAATTATTTCAAAATAAGAAATGAAAAAAATGTGTACTTCAGTCTTTCTTTTGATTAATATGAAACCAAAGAAATATAACAAAATCACCTGCTTGAACAGTAAAGTTATTGGTAAGAATTAATAGTAGTGCACATTTAAATTAATTGCATGATGTAATTAATTTATATTAATATATATGTATATATGTACACATATATAATACATTTCAATTCATTATAGAGGAAGAATGTAGTAACAACATGATATGAGAAAGTAACGAATATGTGAGTATAACTAAAATATATTTACCAATGTATCAAAACGTGTCAAAATTAGACACAAAATGTTTGGTACAACAACTTTAGTAAGCAGGTCATTCCTAGCAATTTTGATATTATTGATATTGTATTTCCTTGGAATGGACCTTTTATTGTATTCTAGAATACAGAATTATGATATAAGACCAACATCAAATGGTACACAATATGTTTCTATCATACCTTGTGATTTCAATCCATTGTGCACAGTGACTGTAAAAGGATTAATGCTTGATCATCCAAACTATTTTCTTCTGAGTCCTCTTGCAGCTATCATGGACAATTTATTGCACATAAGCACTTCTTGGACATGGGTGACACCAAATGGAATCAGTTATTTTCACGTGTTAATAGCAGTGATTGCTCGTAAATGTGTTTCCAGTGATTCATTATCTCATAGACGCTTAGGTGTAATACTTTTTATAGCAAGAACGTGGTTGGATGATTTAGATGGACATGTTGCTAGAAAAAGGGCAAATATTAATGGTGAACGTTCAGATGTGGGTTCAACTGGTTACATTGTTGATGGTATTTGTGATGCTTTGGGTTGTGTTGCTTTACTTATTGGCCTATATCAATTTCTTGCCCGTAACTCAACTAGACGTGGAGGATATGACAAGCTGCCACAACTTCCTGTGTCTTCAGTCCTGGAGCCTGGAAATATAACTTTGAAAACATCAAATGCAGCGCTTCGTAATATATTACTTATGACCGTCCATTTGTTCCTCACCAGTGCAGCCTGGAATCGATACATATCATTGTACCAGGATCTTCTTGAGACTGAATATAGAACACCATCGATTAGTAGGGAACATCTTTACGCTAGACAGACAACTATATTCAGAAGCTTATCTTTTTGGATAATAGTTCTCTCCTGGAAATTTATAAATTTTCATTCTGTCATGGACTACTTGTTGTTGGCAATATTTTTTGATCGCATGCGAGAATATATCAGACTTGTAAAATGGTCTTCATATATTATTGTATTGCTACTTGTTTATGTAACTGAATTTCATTTTCTACGGGCCTACACATATGTGCAAGATGTACCATCATTTATTGATGAAGAGATATCTTCATCCGATGTTTTCACCCAAGGATGACAGTGTGAATCTCTGAAAAGCTTGTTTTCTACATTTTTTCATTATCGGTGATACATGGTGACCTTAATAACTCTTGTACACTGAAATTTTCAAAGTCATTTGTCTATGAAGATAATAACTTGATAAAATTTTTTGTATTTTCTATTTTTCTGCATATATTTTGTATAAATACGAGACTAATGTATGAAGAAATGTGCATAACCCCTTAAATGCCAAGCTAAACTAATAATATTTTGATTTAGCTTTAAAATCTTACATTATTAAAACATTTGTATGATATTAATGTTCTATTGTAGCTGTAATTTTCAGACAAATTAAGTTTTAATGAAGTAAGACATTTGCAAGATGTAACAGATATTAGCTCATGCAAAAAAAAGTAGAATTAATATTCATTTAGATTATTAAATATTTATTAATACATCTGTCCTCTTTGGTAAATATCTATATAGTATATGTTAATTTTAATATTTGCTTAATGTATTTATATGTTTGTTAATATATTACTTAAATGTTACTTAAATTATTAATTTTGGTGGTACTGTGATTTTACATGCTGATAAGATACTTGATATTTTCTTCTTAATTCATTTAAGGGGTTAATGTTTAATTATAAATTCATAAGCAATAACATGTACTGATGGAAAATGATTCAATGAATCTACACTTATCTAATAAAATTTTTTTAGTACATTTTTATACCTGTAGTTCAAGTTAAATATAAAAATAAAACTGCATTTCTTAATTAAGTAAATGGA